AAAGGTGAAGATTAATAGTAGCTTGGTGACCCGGGAGCATGGCTGTAAATCTATATCGCCACCAGACGTTCAGCCACAGTGCACGTCTGTCTTTCTGTGTGTATTACACGCACGCACACACCATCAACACCATGTGAATGTCAAATGTAAAATCCAGGACAGAGTAAACAAAACATGAGAATGAATTTGTGACATTCCAGCTTCTCCTCGTCAAATTCCGTCAGCTGTTTTTTTTTTTTTTCAAAATAAAACAACCATATCTGAACATGATGATAGCTAACGCAAGCAGCTGAGGAGCTAGCGGGATGAACCCGAACTCTTCCTCGGTGCTCTGCTGCCTGATGAATGATGGTCCTTTGTTGTGCGTCCCATAAAGGCTGCCGTGGCCATCCCTTTTCATAGGACCTGGCGAGCAAATGTGAGGCATGAATAGCATTAGTCCGAGTCAGTGCACCCATAGCGGTGTAGCCAGCCCTGAAAACACAGCCTGCTAGCCCTCCTCCCCAAGTTTTATGAGCCAGGATGATTGAAGGAGAAGAAAACTGCTCTGCCAATAGGAAGGGACAGGGAGGAGAGGAGCGAGGAGGAGAGGCGTCAGAGATGGATGGATGGACAGATAAAACAGAGACAGCAGCCGCTCAACAGAGGACTCACATCCCATGCAAGAAGGGATGTGAAGGGGAACAGGTTTGTTTCAGAGGGACTGAAAAGCATCCAAACAAAGGAAGAGAAGGGAAGAATGGAGGTGGAGGACTCTGGCTGTCAGGACTGGCGCTGGGATGGAGTTAGATCTCATTTCTCAAGTGTCATCGCACTATCTGTGTCTCCTCCTCTCTCCTCTCTGTCCAATTACTGCCACAATGAAGCAGGCCCCTTCCTGCAGAGCTGCATATGGCTCTCTGGTTGTAAAGCCATCACTCGCGAGTGAAGCTATGCAGTTTTTGATAGGTACAGTATGTGGGTGACTCAAAGGGCCACAGTAGGTTGTTGTTTGACTGAGTGTGAACTTCTGCTCTGACAGTTTGTCTCAACATGATTTCCTGTGATACTGAATGCCACCAACGAATCACTGACTGTAAGCAGCTGTGGAGGATTGAATCATCTACTGTCAGCATCAACATCAACCTCAGAATTTTTTGTTATTTAGTTTTCTACTCTTTTTTTCTCTTTTTAAAACAGACTTGCAATAAGGAAAATGACAGAGAGACATAAAGAGGACGTACCAGTACATAACAGGTTTTTACAGTGTCCTGTGAGAAACTACATCACACTCAAGTTACCAGTGGCTTACACTTTCTGTAGCTTCCTCTGTGCAATAAATATTCAAAGGAAGAACAAGTCTCAGTGGCTGCACCTTTATATGTGGGTTAGATTGAAATTCCCCGGACATCTGTGTTGTGAAGGCATTCAAAAATCACATAGCTTCAGTGGCTGCAATGATGTGTGTTATCTGTGGGAACCCAACGCTCATAAAATCACCGACCCACTCACCATATGTTGATGTTGATCTATTAGAGATATGAGATAGTGCCGTAAAGACCAGTGTTTGTGCAACGGCAGCTGAGGATCACAAGATCAATCACTCAGGAATCAGTGTTCTTCTTCTCAAGGACACATTGTCAGCTTCGATGCTTGATAACATGAATGACCAGCTCCTTCAATCTTGTTTGTTTAGTACTGAAATGGATGAAAAAACATGTTGACTTTTGCTTGACATGTTAACATGTCACTAGATGCCACTACTTTAATACTTTAATTAATTAGAATCTCTTGTGGTTCTGCAAAATAATAATGCACATACTGTTTTAAATTACTTTTATATGAACTAATTATACAGATAGGGGGTGAATATGTTGCAGTTTTAAATTACTGAACATACAGTGTAATGATCCTATAGACCTTTGTCACAGCAGAGATTTTTTTCAGTGTAAATTGATTTTTTTTTTTTTTTTAATTTAAGTGTTTTAACTTTGAAATCATTTTGGACGTTTCTGTGGTGGAATTAGGGTGAAAGAATTTAGAGCAGAATGGCACCAAATCAATATCGTGACCTCTTCACCTCTTCAGGCGGGAAAACTGGAGGCCCAACAGAGAATAGGCATCCTTTAATTGATGCTCTTTACACTGAAGAAAGTGTCCACCTAAAGTCAATTGGTCAAGTGCTTTGTCTTGAAATATATGTTGTTTTTTTTTAATTTAGCCACAGCCCAAGAGTCGGTATATATCCATGTAGGCTACTTATCATGTAATTAATATATTTGAGGTGTGATACAGGAGAAGAGAGTTTATCTTAATGTGTCTTTAGATGTGTTAATTTAACTTGTGATTTGCAGTGCGCACGCATCTATTGGAGAAATTCTTGCGAACCTTTCCAAAGCCAGGTCAATAGTGAATCCTTTCAAATGCAAATGCGCTTAATGCTGTTTTGGCAAAAAGTTGCAAAAATACATTCATTTTAACAAGCTCCAAATGTGATTTAAAAAACTCGTTTTAATGAAGTATTAACAGTTTCCATGCTGTTTATTAAATGCCATCCACATCGTGCATTTAGAATAACAAAAGACGTTTAAAGCCAATTTAAATGTGAATTCGTTTAAGGCCACTTTCCCAATTTCCTTTAAAAAACAACACTTGCAGCAGCTTTACATTACAGTAGGCTGTGTTTTAGTGTTTTTGCAGCGCAGAAGCAGCTCGACACTGAGCCGCTCGCTCCATCACGTTGTGAAACATTGTAAAGGATCTCCTTTTCTTCTGGTCAGCTTTAAATCCGATCCCCTTGATGCGTGGGGAGAGCAAAGTGAATTAGAGATTGAGGTGGGAGGCTGATTAACCCCCCCACCCTATCCCCTCTCCTCGCCCTACCCCTTCCAACCGAGACCGTAGTTGAGATGCAAAGAAAAGGAGGAGACAGAAAGAAGATATTTGAAAAGCTGCCACGAGTTCCCTGTCACACCGCCTCCTGCGTGGATTGAGCCGTGCTCTTTGTTATCCACAGGCATGAATACTGAGTGGATGTAAAGAGAAAAAGGCCCAGGAGAGGAGGGGGAGAGAAGAAAAACACAGGAGCACGTCTGCATGTAGAAATATAAAAAGAACCCAGACCAAAAATAACTTCACCTACAAATTTCTTAATATTGGTTAAAGGGCCTTAAAGCCAGAAACGGTTTCACATAAGGAATTTTCCTTGGTATATTGGTGACTAACAGTAACCATAAATTAATAAATAACACGAGAAATATAAATATATAATATATAGATAAAGATAAATAAAACCACAACAAGACACAAAATACAAATATAAACAAGAACAATGGTGACTTGCGATCTGTACAGTTTGTAGGAAAGTGCAAATTCACAGTTTGAAGTATAAGGATATTTGCACTGTTTTGTAATTTACTTACTGTCCCTAAATGCATCTGAATCTGGGCTCACCATAATATTCATAAATATTTGGCATGATAATGTTAATGCCGATTAATACTGAAGCTCTGCTATCAATATCAATATTATTATTATATTATTATT